CCTTTGAAGCTCAAGGATACAGCCTTTGCACAGACGCCTTTGACTTGTGAGCCTAGGCGCCGTTGCCTTGTAAGACCGTTATTAAACCTCGGTCTCCAGTTCCCGAGTTTCGCTGAACAACTCTAGCTTCCGCAAGGACAAAAGCTGGGCAGCGAGTCTTCGATGTTTGGTCTAAGTTCTCCTTCAAAGAAACAAGTCCCAAGCCTTGGTCCCCGAAAATTTTGGATTGCTCTCGTCCTGAGAAACACATCGCAAGCCTTGGTCGCTAAGATTTTGGTCTGAGTCTAAGTTCTCCTCCAACGCAACAAATCAGCAAGCCCTGGTCATTCAGGTTTTTGGCCTAAGTTCTCCTCCAATAAGTCTATGCGCAGGTCCTGGCCCCTAAGATGTGTGGCTTAAGACTTAAGTTATCCTCTGAAGAATTGGTGGCTTAAGCCTTTCTCCACACAAGCACATCGCAAGCCCGCGCCCCTAAGATGCTTGGTCTACGATTGCTTCCAAAAAGACAAATCGCAAGCCCTGGCCCCGAACGTTTTTGATCAAATTCTTGTCCTAAACGACACATCGCAAGCGTTGGCCCACAAGTTTTCTCCACAGAAACAAATCGCAAGTCGTGGTCCTCAAGATATTTGGTCTAAACTCACCTCCAAAAAAACAAGTCTCAAGCCCTGGTCCCTATGATGTTTGTCTTACATACATTCCCTGCAACGGGACAAATCGCAAGCCCTGGCCGGGACAAATCGCAAGCCCTGGCCTTTGAGATGTTTGGTCTAAGTTCTCCTCCAAAAAAAAAAAATCGCAAGCCCTTGTCCCTAAGAATGCTGGTCTGAGCTCTCCTCCAAAGTGACAATTTGCAAGCCCGGGTCCTTAAGGTGGTTGGTTTGAATTCTCCTCCGAAACCTAAATCGAATCTTTGGCGATGGTCCTCTAGAAAACTGTAAATGGCAGGCAATCCCCCCCTCATCTCTTGTGGTGATGATCCTCTTGAGATTCCCGATGGCAAGCATGCTATTGAAACATCCATTCGCACCAGTGTCCCTCTCTCTTTTCGTAGTGCTGCTCTTTTGAAATCCTGACTCGAACCATCTCTTCTTTTGGGGTTACCAATCGCAAGCAATGTTTTTCTTATCTCTTCCGGAACCGATGCTCATGAAACCGTCAATCACAAGCAGCGTCCCCTTCACCTTGTCCGGTGTCTAACCTCCTACGAAGTCGCAACCCCAAAGCTCCACTCATCACACACTGCAGGCAGTTTTTGCCAAACGGCAGGCGGTGCGCTTCCGGATGTCGCCTCGATCCTTCCCGTTGGTTTTCGGAGAGGCTTGGCACAGCCGGGTCATCAACTTTAATGGCGCCGGCAAAAGCGCTGCGCTCGGTTTCTCCAAGCTGGATCTGAGTGCCTCTGTCCCACTTTATTTCGGGGGGGTCCGGCACCAACCACAACCAGCTTGGCTGAGGAAGCCTTCGTTGCCCAGTGACGATTGAACTTGCGGAAGTCCTAGAGTTCCTAAAGTCCATGTGAACCAGAGGAAGCAGCTCTAGGAATACAAGGAGTCAAGGAGCCCTGTCGTAACACCGGCGTGGATCCTCTTCAACATGTCCGAGGTGAGGTCAAAGCTGTGGATGAGTTTCCAAACGTAGTTAAGACGGCTCATAAGAGGACCACGAAGAATTTCGAAATAATCAAGACCACCACAGATCACTCGCATGCTGCCGTGTCGCTTTTCCGAGTCGCAATAGAGACAGGGTAGCACCAACATGCTTCTGTAGTTTATCGCTTTTGGGACGAGTTGCCCCTGCACAACCATCGATCTCCACCGCCTTGATTTCCGCAGATGTTGCACTTACCGACTTCTTCGGGTTGAAGGGAAGTCCCCAACGAGTATATTCTCCAACATGGGTTACAAGTCTGGCGAGGTACTCCCTTCATAACGGAGGCCTCGGGATTCTCTTTTTCCAGCAGGTCAAAGCTGTCAAGATCTGAAACCTGGCCTATCCTTGCGCACTGCTCACACAGCGAGTTTCCGGTGCAGATGTTGTGCGGTTCCCACTGATCTGAGACACCCCACTGGCAACTTTAAGCACAGAGAACAAGGTTCATCAACATGCGGCGGCACCAGTTGCGGGAACCGGCGCGCTGAAACTCAACATCGGGTACCACCGCTGAGGAAGCTCGAGGAGGTAGAACATGCACCGACGATCTTCACTTGAGACAAACACTACAACTGTGAGGCTGGCTTGATTCGAATCAAACTCATGATACGTCGGTTGATCTCGTGGCCGCTCTCCGCTCCCCACTCCAAAGAGTCCGTTATGAATAAGCTTCTGTTGGGCCGTTGGGATGTGCCGTTGGGATGTATCGGGCAACACACAACAAAGGTTGTAACGAACCAAACCCAAAGCGTTATCGGTCCATCCTCATCCCGAACCATAACCTTCGACGACTTAATCGTTTCCCTGGCTTCAACGGCCCGATGTGCCCAAAAACACAGCAGGCTCCAAATTTCCCCAGCTGATCCACTTTGCTACCTTCGCATCCTGCCCCGAATAGCTGATACTTCGCACTTGAAAGAACTGCTTCCGATCAATGACCTCTATACGATTACTGTGCGGCGCGAACAGTTGAATCCGACCACTGAGATACTCGAAAATAGCTTGTTGGTGAAGAATACCATCCCAAGATATCAGAATGGCATCTTGCTGGTCCAAAACTGAGCTAGGTGCATAGACAGGGGCACAGGGAAAACATCCACTTTTCGGGATAAACACTCACAGGCCGAGCAAGTGATCAGGGCCGATCCCCCAACCCCTACCCTCCACGCATCGGCTCCTTTGCCTCCCCCGCCTCCATCCTTTTGCCCTCCTTTCGGGGTCTATCCTTTGCATCCTGTTCAGGTCCTTCTGTTCGGAATCGTTCTTGGAAACTCTCGTCATCTCTTGTGCCTCGGCTACGCTGCTGATCCTTTCTTGGTCTGAGGGAACGAGATCGATGTTCTGTGCCACCTGCCATTACTCTCCGTTCAACACGACGAGTTCGATGGCCTGCCGCTTCCGCTGCTGCCGCTCACACCTCTGCTGCTGCTGCTGCTGCTTTCGCTGCTCTCCTCCAAGTCATCCCACCAACCCGAAACCTTTGTGAGACCGGTACGAGCCCTTGATCAATGTCTTTACAAGCGGCTGTATGTATGTTTTGGAGTGTAAGGGAATGGTGCATACGTGGTTCTTTGGCATGCATCTCTTCCCGAAATCAGCTCAAGCCTGCATGATCAAGAACAAGTGACATTCCGCTGAGATGGTCCAGGCGAAGCCCCGTCTCCCGCCTGATCTCATTTTCTTCTTTCCTCGCCACAAAGCCTTCTTCAAGCCGTCCTGTGGGTCCAAAGGGGTGGCGTGGTAGGTCCTGTTTCCTGTCTTTCACCAACGACGGGCAATGGGGCTCCTCTCCCTCTTTGGGGGCCTGCTCTCCCCCCTGCTAAACGCACGAGTTCCTTTTGCAACTCTCCTTTCATCGCTATTTTTTTGAAGAGCACGCAAACCGAACATCTTAGGGATCACGGCTTGCGAGTAGCATCATCACTAGACAAGGTGAGGGTGACACCCACCCACCATCCAGCCACCAAGCCGCCCACCAAGGCTCCGGCAAACCTTTTAAATCGTTTCATTCCCAAGACTGGTTCCCGTATCCTCGCTTTCCAATTGTCGAAATGATCGAAATGATTCCTAGGGGAGGCCAAAACCCCTTCCCTTCCATTTCAAGGATTGAACAAATTCTCAAAGAATTGAAACTGGCCGCGCAAGCAAGCCAAAACTAACGTATGTCGTTGGCTCCGTTTTCGTCCTGAGCAGTCCCACTTGAAACAGACAAGTGCAAACAATGCAGAAAAACACCACCTTGTTTGCTGTAGTTGAAATAGAAACAATGTTCTTTGATATAACAAGCATGCAAACGAGCTAGAAAAAATCCTACTTGAGATAATGCGCGTGCAAACACTGCAGCAAAAAAACCTACGTTGGCCGGCAAACTCAGCAGTCCTGCTTGAGCCTTGCGAAAACAGTGTCGTCCTAAGTAGTCCTGCTTCGTCCTACTTGAGACTAAGCGGGCAAACACTGCAAGAGAAAACACTGTGTTAGCGGTAGTTGTCGTCCTCAGCAGTCCTAGTTGAAATAAGACCCCATCTCAAACATGGCAACAGCAGCTGGCAGGCAGGTAGTCACGATTCGCATGATGGTGTTCATTTTTGTGGGGCAAGTTGCAGACACAGCTCGCTCCGGAACAGAACCCACCACCCAAACCACAGGAAAAGAAGGTGGCGGGTGTCAATGCAATGCACTGCGACTGAACAGAGCGAAGGTTACACCGCGGCGACACAAAGGCACCATCGGCAACAATCGCGATTCGGATGCCAATATTACTACGTACTGACAGATCGCTGCAAGCATACCTCTGTAGGCTTGATGGCTGCTTAGCAACCAGTTCTATTTAATTACAACATGCACAGCATGCGACGAGTTAGCCAAACTTGCAGCTTCTGTTTAGTGGCATGCTGGAGCAAGCACAACGCTATGCTAATTCTGTAGGGTATTCCATAGCGTATTCAAAAGGGTATTACGTCAGGTATGTATGTACCATCAAATACATCCCTAAGATGAAACTTGTGTACGCCTGGACATGGAGGCATGGTCACTGACCTATCGGGATCTTTGCTTGTTGCTGTTGTTCACACCGGCCAATGTAGCTACGGCAACAGAGTCCTTGAAACATGTACTTTGAAGACCTGTCTTTAAGCATGCTATGTAGTCAAGGCGTTCAGTGCTTAATCTGATTAACATCGTACGGGCTGTACAAGGCGCTTGCGGGCAACATCGTAGTACAATCGGGTCATTCCCTAAGTAAAATTTCCTGTAGCATTGCTGGCCGTGTCAGGGCTGATGCCGGGTGAAGGGACCAGGAATGCATGATCTGATATGTATGTGATTACATGTGTATATCTGGCGGAGCATCAATCAAGGCTTCCGTCCTGGAACAAGCCGATGTCACCAACACCAACATCCACTGCCTCTGGGAACGTGGCAATGGGACCCTTGATCCGCGCGCCTGCCATGGAAACGGTTGCAGGAAGCACACTGTCTCGTGGTCTTCTCACGGTCCCTCCGACACGGAAGGGCAAGAGGGCCCTGCCTGAGCAGGGCAGCGGGGAGTTCGGGGCGGTGGAGGTCGGGGCTTCTTGTAGAAGAGCAGGGCCAAGGCAGCTCCCAGGCTAGGCTTCTCCCCTTCTCTCTCGTTCGTGGGCCTTTGCCCTCGTGTAAGCGCGCCTGTGTTGCGAAACCGCCAGGAGCGCCGCCCCTCCACGGGATTGGCACCGCCGCCTCAGCACGCCACTCGCGAGGCAAAGCAGAGCAATGGAAAAACTCGAGCGCCCGGCCTGGCTCGTGAGGAGCGATGCTCACGTGCCTCAGCGCTCTAGCACAAACTCGACCGGAAGGGACAAGGGCGCGCGCGCGCGCCCCCCCGGTCGCGCTGCGGTGCAGGACAAGTGGCCGCGCGCTCGAGAGGGTGATGTTGGCCAGGCTGAGCAACGGCATCTCGAGCCTCGAAGTTCACGAAAAGGTGCGTTTTGCCGGGGCTTTCGGATCTCTCCGAGCTCAGGGCACTGAATTATCCAGACCAATCCCTCGTACTTTCCTGCAGGCAGCTCAATAGCGACTCGGGAAAATGTCATATCTCGCTTTGCCTCTCTGCATCTGCATCCACCTGAGCCGAGTTCGAAAGCAAGGCCCCAAGGCTGTCAACACTTTCACTTCTCTGCGAAGGCGGCAGCAAAAGCCAGTTCAGCGCTTTGACCACGTCTCACGGCAGAAGGTCACTGCGTCGGCTCGTTGCACTGCCAGAGAAGCTTCAGGGACGCCAGGGACTCCCGGTCCCCCCCGACCCCGCAGCCGCCGCAGCCGCCGCAGCCGCCGCAGCGTGCAGAAGCAAGCCGGAAGGGCAGCCGCCTCGCGAGAGGAGCAAAGCCGAGCAATCCTCTCCTCTCCCAAACTCTAAACCCAAACTTTCCCCCAAAAAAAGCTTTCCCCCCCGGGTTCAACGACCCCGACCCCCTCTCTTCGTGTTCTCCCTCTTCGTCCCGGCCGGAAGCGCCTTCCAAAGGCTTTTCTCCTCAGCCACGGCGAGGCGGGGCGAGGGCGAGGGGGAGGGAGGAGGGGAGCGCTCAAGCGGCGGCCCAAGAAGCGCTCGCTGCGCGGAGTTCTAAGTCTTCGGTTAAGAGAGATTAAAGGCCGAGCGGCCGAGGAGCACTCGGCGGCCGAGCCGCTTCGCCTTCGGGCTCCAAGGGGCAGCGCTCTTCGAAGCTGATGCACCTCAACAGAAGCCCGCGGCGCTCTTCGTCCCCGCTCCGTGGCTCTCCGTCCGTTCGGGGCAGCGGCCGGTGAGGGCAGGCGCGTGCTGGCCCATCCCAGAACCTGCGCCGTCCGCCACTCTCCCTCACTCTCCGCCGCTCTCTCTGTGCTTCTCGGTGCACTCTCTTCTACTGCTATACTCTCTCTCTCTCTCTCTCTCTCTCTCTCTCTCTCTCTTCTCCCATATCCCAAATCCCAACAAGCAGCACACAGCCACCACGGTCTCGGGCTCAGCGCCGGGCTCCAGCACCAGGGCCCGGCGCCGGCCCCGCGTCACCGGGGCCACCATGTGGTACTTGTGGGCCTGCTCAAAGCGCACTGCGCCCCACTGCGCCCCACTGCGCCGCGCCGAAAGAGAAGCATGGACACGCTAGCACTCTATATGTAGTGGTGCTTTTTTAGCATCTAGGATCTCCGGGACACAGCGGCAGCCGCAGCGAGCCTTCAAAAGCCTAGGCAGCTTAGCCTATAGGGGGCTTAGCGAAAAAAAAACTAACAGGTGCACTGCTGCACTGCTGCACTGCGGCTCCACTGGGCTCTTCGGCCTGGAAGACGAGCACCTCGAGGAAGCCGAAGCTCTGCTCCTGCGGCCAAACGTGGCGCTCTGCTCTCTTCTCTGCACTTCTCACGCTTCGCATCGCTTCGCATCGCTTCGCATCGCTTCGCATCGCTTTACTCGCTCTCCCTCTGAGACTCGCGGATGCTGGCCTTGAGGCTCCCGTCGGTTTCCAAGGTGCGCAGCTCACCGCCCTCGAAGTCTTCTTTGGGCTCCTCCCAAAAGCACCCCGGAAAAGAAGAGGAAGAGGAAGAGGAAGACAGGAAGACAGGAAGACAGGCTGCCGCCGAGGCGCCGCGCAAAGGACATCCAGAGTCACAAGGCTATCCATGTCGTAGTGCCGAGGATCCGGGATGCCCGGTCCAGGCGCCTCCTCACATCAACTTCTTGAACGCTTATAAAGGCAAACACCCCGCGGCACCCCACCGCAACAAGCGCAACACGCCACCGCAACACGCCACTGCACGCCACTTACACCACTTGCTGCTCCTTGCCTGGTCATGCCACTCCACGACTCTCGCCTCAGCTGCAGGTGCAGCGGCGCCGCGTTGGTTATGTCCAGTACGTGACATGGCCTTCATCCGCTCCGCCTGGCCGACAGTCAGCCAGTGCTCGCGGAGCCCCACAGACCTGCCCACGCCCACTGCGCCCAATAGACTTCGATCAGCGCCGCAGCTGCGCTCTCTCTGGCGCAGAGGGCGCACCTCGCCATCTCAGCCAAGCTCTCCTGCAATGGGCCACTGCAGGAAGGAGCCACCGGAGCGTGGAGGGCGGGCGTTTCTGTTTCCGTTTCACCGCGAGGCCCGGGGCACCAGCAGCTCCGGAGCTTCTCGCGCGAAGAAGCCACGGGTCTGAAGAAACGTGACCTCACGCGTCTAGGGGCGAGGCCCTCTCGGCCCCTCTGAGGGGCCCCTCAGCCGCGGCGCCTGCCAAGCCTCGGACTGCGCCGAGCGCACTGCGCGGCCGCAGCCCTCCCCAGCGGCCCTTGCCGCGAGGCGCTCCAGGAATCCCAGCGTCTCCGCAGAGAGGAAGCCCGCCGACACCACCTCTCTCAGTCTGTCGGACTAGGCTCGGAGGCTTTTGACATAAGAGCAGGGGCTCTTGGTTCCTGGCCTGACTTCTCTGCGCATCGAGCACATCAGGTGCGCCGCCTCGGACCCCTGCATGCGGCAGCTGCACTGATTATCTGATGAGCTGCGTGCATGGACGTGCAGTGCATGCCCAAACCGGGAGCCCGAATGCCTCCCCTCGCCAGCAGCAAGTCGAACCAGCGCTTCGGCGAGAGCACATCCAGGAAGGAGGCGGGAGGCCTCCCTTCGCCTGGCCACACGCCGGCCTCCGGCGGATCGGTCTCCTTCTGCTTCCGCTTCTTTTGGCTCCCGGGATCGACTCCGAAACCGGCTCCTCGTCCTCGTGTGAGGAGGAAGATGGAGGTCTCATCAGTCGTCTGGTCGCGCTCCTCGCACTCGTCGCAGCTCTCAAGGTCCTGCCGGGGGGACAGTGCCCAAAGCGGCCGCTCCCGCCATCTCAGCGCTCAGCGTTGAGCCGCGCACGTACACTCGCCCCCCCGCTCGCTTCTCTCTCCGCTCTTGGCTCCCGCTCGCAGTTGCCTGCAGCTCAAGGACTCTGAAGCCGGCAAAGGCGTCGCGCAAGGCCTCTCCCACGCCGCAGGGCGCCTTAGGCACAAAAACCGCCGAAAAACGCGGAGAGACGGCCACAGACGGCCCTTATTCCGGACCTCGAGCAGGATCGCTGGCACCTCCCAGGCTTCGCAGCGCCGCCGCAGTGGCTCCCAGTCTGGTTTGGCCACACCCCGCCCCAAGGCCACCACCGCTGCATAGCGGAAGGAGCCGCTAGCGTCAGTTTCTCCCAAACTTCGTCCCGGCGATCCTTGGCCTTCCAGGCCCAGAACGACGTGGGTTCCACGGCCGCTGTTGCCCGCCAGCCGCAGGCCGAAGTGTCGCTCGGCCAACTCCAAGGCGACAACCTCCGGCTCCAAAACTTCCACCCGCACCTAAGCGCTCAGGGCTCAGCCAAAAGAAGTTCATCATGTCAATCTAGGCCCTAGGCTGCTAAGGCCCCAAGGCCCCACAAGGTCATGGCACTTCTGGGGCATGCTGTGCGAGGAAGGTGCAAAGGAGCCCATCTCCTACACCATAGCACAGCAAGGGCAGCGGCGTTGGGTCGCGCCCATCCCTGCTCATGCTCGTCGCACTGTACGCCGCCGCCAGCACCGCCAGGCCTGCCGCAGTGACCTCCTCCCAGCGGTGGAGCGCGCTGCCTAGCAGGGCTGCGTCAGGGCTGCGGGCTCCCGGCGAGCCTGCGAAAAGTGAATCCCCTCCTGCCTGGAGGGCCGAATGAGGCATGCCAACCGCCCTCTGTTGGTCGGAAGCCATGCCAAGGCCCTCGATGAACCACACGCTGCCGGCCGAGCTCAGGCTCCGTCTCAGCCGACAATGCGGGTGCGGACCTTTGACAGTCAGACAGCGTAACTCAAACGAGAAAGGCGCGATCCGATCCCTAACATTCCTAAGATTTCCCTAACATTTCCTTATGGCAAACCATGACTTAGCCTCGCACACGACGATGTCCAGCACCGCTCGGAGCTGGGAGTGGTCGCAATCGGAGTCGGATGCCAAGAGGAGCCCGCCGGTGCCACAACAGGGCCGATAATCCACCACTTCCACACGTGGAGAACACCACTCCTCACACAGCCATGGCCTCAGCGTCGCTGCGAGGACCCAGCGCCAGTCCTCGGAGGCGGACTCCACACTCGCCGCCGTCGCCGCCCGCGTCCGGAACCGGAGCGCCTGCTTCTGAAGCAAGAAAGCCAAGAGCCGCAGGTCTCTGAGCGCTTCAGAAGCCTCAGACTCTGCCTCAGACTCCGCCTCAGCCGCCTCAGCCTCGCTCTCCAAAGACCTCCGCCTGAGCCTCGCTTTCGCTTGGCGCGCCAGGAAGAGCAGCGCCAGAGCCCCGCCCCGCTCCAGGAGCTCCGTTGCTGCCTGGGCGCCCGCCTCCTGGGCGCGCGCCTCGCCCTCGTCGATCAGGCGCCGAAGCCATGCCCGCACCTCCAAAGCACACCTCGCCCAGGCGAGCTGCCCCTGCCCGCAAGGGACCCCTTCCAGTTGCGGGGCTCGCATGCTGCCATCACGCCGCGGGATCCAGATCACATGCGCAGGCGAAGGCAAAGGAGCAGCTCGAAAGGAGCTCGAGCCCGTAGCTGCCGTAGGTCCGTAGGTGCAAGCCTTTTCTCATTGTGACTCACAACACTCACAGCTCTTGTGGCATGGGCGCGAAGGCCCAAGACGTAGGCCGCCTGGCGGTTCAGGACCTGAGACACAGTCGCTCGGAGTTCCTCCCTCCAAAAAGGGCAGCCGGGAGCCGGCCGTGTGCGAAGCACCAGTGTCCACGAGGCCCACGATCGGCTCCAAGCAGCCCGGCACCGTCATCAGCAAACCCTCAGACAGAGACAAATGAGACAACAATGAATAGCAACAGCACAGAGGCAAAGAGGTTACAAACACTGCACTCAAGCCCTGCTACAAACATCTTGGAGGGACTCGCCACCTTCAGACGCAGTCTTGTCCCTCTCACCGTTTTGACTTGTCTGTTGGTGCTGCTAGTTCTTGGCCTTGGCGTGATTCTTCGCTTCTACCGGTCCAACTCCAGGAACCCCTGAAACCCTTGGATTCTCGCTCGGCCCTCTTGACCTTCGACACACCCATGGCTCCCGAAGTTCAGTGAGATGGAGTATGTGCTGCTAGGTTGGGGCTGTGAAAATCTACCTGCAGTTTGCACACAGCGCATCGTCGTGATGCCAAACACAACTGTGGTATGCACTGTGATGGGTGCGCGCTGGTCGAGTGCCGTGTCATTCGGTCGCTTTCGAAGAGGCGACACGGAGGTATACCTATACTCTTTACAGGCCACCAATTATTTGTTCAGGCAATACGCCAAGATAGGAGCCTCTGCGTTCTGCTTGGCGAGGTGCTTGCGGGCTTGTTGGGACCGCTGCGTTGTCGAGCTGCTGCGCTACACCGCGTATACAGCATGACATATGCCCCCACCTGCAGGCGCCCGGGCATCCCCAGCGCCTCGAGCTGCCTCCCAGTCCCGCATGGAGAAACAACACGACGCGGCCCCCCGCCCACGGCACTCCCGGGGGCCTCCAGTCACCGTCGCTCGGTCTCACTGGCAGTGATGCTCGGGGCCAAGCACGTAGACGCTCCGTCCGAGCGTCCTCCCGAGCTCACGCCCTCGCTGTGGCTGTGCGGCTGACATGTCACGCCATTGCCAGGTTCTGGCCATTGGTCCAGCTCCAAGTCGTACTGGTCCATAAAGCCTCCCGCAACACCACAACGCAACGCATGGGATTTTTTCGACTCATGGGTCGGAAGCCGCTTTGTGCTGCGGAGCCTTGCCCGAGCATGCCCTGCAAGGCCACGCCCACTTCACCGGCGATGCTCCTGTGCGGGAAGCCCAAGGCCCAAAGCCCAAGCCCGGAAGAGGAGTCTTCTGAAAGGAAAACCTACTCCGACACAAATACACACACACACACAGACAGAGACAGTTGCAGACAAGTCATCCTTACCTGGATTGACGCTCTTCGATCACTCCCTCTACTGCTACTACTACTACTACTACTACTACTACTACTACTCTTCCTGCTGCTACTACTGCCACTGCCACAACCACTACCAGTACCACTGCCATTACCACTGCCGCTACCACTGCCACTAGCAGTGCCACTAAGCGACGACGACTACTACTGCTACCACCTCTACTGCCACTACCAATACCTCACTACTACTACTACTACTACTACTACTACTACTACTACTACTACTACTACTACTACTACTACTACTACTACTACTACTCCTCCTGCTGCTACTACCACTACCACTACCACTACCACTACCACTACCACTACCACTACCACTACCACTGCCACTGCCACTGCCACTACCACTACCACTACCACTACCACTACCACTACCACTAGCACTACCACTACCACTACCACTACCACTACCACTACCACTACCACTACCACTACCACTACCACTACCACTACCACTACCACTACCACTACCACTACCACCACCACTACCACCACCACTACTACTACTACTCCTACTACTAGAGAGTGCCACGGAATACGGGCCCGTGTTTTGCAAGTAAAACTGTTGTCATTTTTGTATTTCTAAAGACTGGCACGAAGTCTCAAGATCTGAATCCTGCTGGAAGTCACGGGACTGCCAAAGGAATCCAAACCCTGGCACTGTAGAACAGAGTAGGTGACAAAATCAGTTGGATAAAGCAGTGCACTTCGCGTCCAACGTGTTTGTGCAGAAATCCAAAACTCAATGTACGTGAAAGGTGGGAACCCAAGACCAAGAAGGTGAAAGAGGCCGACACCACAAGAATCGCGCTAGGTTCACGACTACACAAATGACAAGTGCTGGATCCTGCCGTAACTTTATAATGCGATGATGGGTAGCACATCCCAAACTCTACAAGACATGAACGGGTTAGCAAACGCAGGTACTAGCAAAACCTCGGCCGCAGAAAAAGTAGGTGGTTTGGAAGATTGCTCCCACAAGCCATCCCTAACAGGAGTGAGAGGTTCGGACAGCACATATTCTAAAGGTGGTGACTAGTGACTAGTTACTAGTTCCCAAGAAACTTAGGGGGACTTGTTGAAAATCTCAGAGAGATGATCTGAGTCAAATACCAAACATGGAGACGGGGACCAGCCATTGAGAAACCTAAATTTTAGCCGGGTTGGCTCAAATGCAGACCCAACACCGTATGGGTCGCACTCCCCGGATACAAACATGAAAGCTTCTTCCCAAATATCCCAAATTCCGATGAAAACCGCTGCGTGGCAGACCCAGAACCTGAGTCCTTAAACAAGGCCGGCAGCAGCAGAAACTCTAAAAGAGCCAACTGGCTTTTTAACTTTTTTTTATTTTTTTTTTTGGCCGACCCCCCCCCCCCCCCCCCCGCGGAGCCTAGGACCCAGGCCCTCGGCATAGAGGGATGCACCTCCAAATAGAGCTGCACCTTCAACTCCACTTATTGACAACGTGCATCCGTCCATCACGTTTTTTGAACTTCATACTTGGATATAATACATGGACATTGACATTCAAGGCAAATATACGAAATCTTTGTTAACAGCCAACACACCGCTAGGGCATCGTCAGCATGTGTACTTTCTGGCAATGTGCAAAAACATGGGCCCGTATTATGTTGTTTTCTGTACTACTACTGCTACTACTACTACTACTACTACTGCTACTAGTAGGCCGTCCCCCCCTGGTGCGACGCCGGTCTTGGATGAACATCATGTCTCATGACAGCTGTCGCGGACCCCAAAGACGAAAAACATTCTGAGAAGGCCTTCAGTCTGAACAAGGCAAGCAGGCTGATGATGATGCTAAGGATGACGCTCATGCTGATGCGCGTGATGAGAATGATGATTCCTTTGAGCCTGTGTTCTACAGGGAGGGTTGATGGTGAGACAACCCGAACACAGGCTCAAAGAAATCCGGCCTAACCTAAAGATGAAGATGATCATGATGATAATGATGATGTTCATGATGATGCTATTCGAGATGGTGCTGACGAAAGTGATGATGAACATGATAATGCTGGATGCTGCTGATGTGCGGTTCTTGCGCCTCTACTCGTTATTGAACTAGTGAACCACAGAGTAAGCTGTTAAAGAGCAGTGGAAAGTACCACCCCCGCTCGGTGCGATGCAAAGAAGCAACATTTCGAAAGGTTTTGGACATGGATGCTCTCCAAACTCAAATGCGCTAGACCATGGACGTCATTAGATTTTGGACATGGATGCTCTCCAAACTCAAATGCGCTAGACCATGGACGTCATTAGGTTTTGGACATGGATGCTCTCCAAACTCAAATGCGCTAGACCATGGACGTCATTAGGTTTTGGACATGGATGCTCTCCAAACTCAAATGCGCCAGACCATGGACGTCATTAGGTTTTGGACATGGATGCTCTCCAAACCCAAATGCGCTAGACCATTTTGGACATGGATGCTCTCCAAACTCAAATGCGCTAGACCATGGACGTCATTAGGTTTTGGACATGGATGCTCTCCAAACCCAAATGCGCTAGACCATTTTGGACATGGATGCTCTCCAAACCCAAATGCGCTAGACCATTTTGGACATGGATGCTCTCCAAACTCAAATGCGCTAGACCATGGACGTCATTAGGTTTTGGACATGGATGCTATCCAAACAAACGATTTGAATGAAAATCATGATCAAAATGAGGCCCAAAAAACCTTGATTCTGATCGCTAGGTTTTGGGCACGAAAATCGAGACACCCAAAAACAGTAAAAAATCATGAAATTCGCAAAGACAAGTGCTGTAAATACCAGCATTTTCGTGTGCGACATTGATGAACAATGTTAGAAAAAATGATAAATATACACACGAAACCAAGAACTGTTGTCACTTTCGATAACTGCGGAAAAAAAGTGCTGTAAATACCAGCATTTTCGACCACAGCAAGTCCCAAAAATAAGCGGTTTGGGCGTCGCACCGGGGGGGAAACCCTACTACTACTACTACTACTACTACTACTACTACTACTACTACTACTACTACTACTACTACTACTACTACTACTTCTACTACTACTTCTAGTACTACTGCTAACCACCACCACTACTAGTAATTTAACAATAGTAAATAGTAGTAATAATAATCCGCCGAAGCCACAGGCCCAGGCATCTTGGGGAAACACCTGTTATTTGCATTCATTTGCCACCCCCTTGCCCGGCTTCCCTTCATTTTACCGGATTTTCTGGCCTTTCCCCTCCCCGATCCCCTCTCTTCCCGCCGTTTTTTCCTGATTTTTCACGCCCTCCCTTCGGGAAAGGTCGCGCGGAAGGCTGAGCGGGGTCGTGCCGCCCACGCTCTGAGAAGGCCAGCTTCTCCGGGACGGCAAATGCAAAAGCCGTGAGAAGACCTGCCCGCAAATTAATGCCGAACACAAGGCCGAAAATGACACTGCTCGAGTCCTGCCGCAGGCCATGGCTCAAGGCACTTCATGAAGTCAGGCCAGGCTAATTCATAGCCGCGGCAACAATGCCCTCGGGACCGCGCACGCACACCGCGCGGTGCCCTGCCGCAGGTGCAATCCTACACCGTCGCAGCCGGCACAGGCTGGCCGCTTCCGGTGCTGTCTTGCACAGCCGGCAAGGCGGCTTAAAATGCTCCAGGCAGTCGTCGGCAGCGAAAAGCCGGTCGAACTCCCGCGTGAAATCCACCACGGTCGCCGCTCCTGGCGACAGCGAGACTCCTGATAGCGAAACCCGCGAAGTGGACCAGGCATCGAGGTCCGTTCGCACCCATCATGAGTTGTGCCTCCGGCACTGCTCACCTGGAAGGTAGTCGCGATTGGACAGAAAGAAAATATCCGTCGCAACTTTGAAATTGTTGGATAAGAGCCAATATTCCCAATTAGACACGTTGTGACACTGGTCTACGTCAGCAACGATGCCCTGAAATGACACTGCAGGATCAGGCGTCACCGAAGAAAATGGCCGCGAGCGAGTGTCACAAAGATGACCGCGAGCTGGACGGTCTTCACCAATTGTCCCTTGCCCAGCGACGTGTGCGTTCAGGTTCGTCACGATCCTTGGTCTTGCCTTTTCCTTTACCTTTGTCATGGTAGGTGTTGGTGTTCCATGATCCACGACGATTGTCTCGACCTTCCGCTTTGGGAGCAGCTGGACGTGTGGCACGTTCACGTTGTTCCGGAGTGAGGCTTGCGTCCATGATTGATGTCTGTCCTGCAGCCATGTACTCGGAGGACGTGAGGCTTTGTAGTGCCTGGCGTTCTGTGTGGATCTGCGGGCTCCGCTCCTCATCAACCTTGCGCTTTGCGATCTTGTCAACGAATCTCGCTAGGACCTGTCACTCGCGTAGCGGCGTAGATACGTCCCTGACAACCAACACTTCTCTCTTGCACCGTCATCAAGTCCGAGTGATGCATCAGCAGCTTTGCGCATGTCGAGGAAGTCAAGTGTGACCAAATCCCCCCGCACCTTGATCTCTCTCTGGAATGCTCCGCGTTTCGTCCGGAAGCAGTACGGATTGCGATAACCATGAGTACACAAATGCACAAGAGTCTTAGCCTCAGCCTTCAGAGTGCCAACATTTGCTTTCTTGGCCGGGGCCCCTTCGCCTTCAACTTCAATCTCTTTCTCATCATCTTCAAGAGGAGTGTCACGGACGCCTCCACCATCTTCATCTGGAGGCCTCCCTGCTTCGGCTTCGGGTACCTCTTCTTTCGTGTGGATCAGCATCAGGTGGGCGTCCGTGCGCAACACCAACTCCTTCATCTTCTTCTTCCCCTGGCACAGTCTTTGCAGCTGCAG